ATATAGTACTAGACAAGTCTGGTAGTTTCAAGTTTGTTTTTTGTAGGTTTTTTTTATTTGTTTGTGTATGTGTATGTGTGTGTGTATGTGTGTGTGTGTGTGGGGGGGGGGGGGGGGTAAGTGTTTTACATTTTCAGATGGTGGGAAATCTTGAATTTTGTCCGGGTGGCAGCTGAAGCCGATTCATATCGATTTTAGAATACCAAGGGATCTTTAACATGTACAACTAGCACACGGCACCTCCGAAACTTTTCGCCCTTGTCGGAGAAGGCTAGGTGTAGATCTTTCTTACTAGAAGATCAGGGGTGTGGCTGAATGACAGTAGTGAGAAGGAGCCAAGGAGCAACTGTAGAAGGGGGAAAAGGAGGTGAGGGGGGGGGGGGGTAGAAAGTGGGGATGAAATCAGACGACAGAACATTGCTAGAGATCAGTAAAGGTGGTGAAAGAAGACAATTTTATAGAAGAAATGTTTCCGTTACTACCAGGATTTGAACTCAGGGCCTTTAAATGAGAGGCGAACACCTCAACTTCTAGATAGGAGTAGGCGTCGTCCGCCACCAAGGCAAAATTCAAATGTTCATACCAACTGAAATATACCGCGTGCTCATATGACTTTATGCAGTTGTAGGCGCCGTAAAACACAGGAGATTACTAGTGAGAGATATTTTATTCGTCAGCTGGCCCCTCTTCGCATCATATTATTGACGCAAGGTCGGTGACGCAGTGCCTCAAAACTATGTCACGCCGTACATTTCATAGTCTGTTCCTCTCAAAGTCACTTCCCCTTGTTATTTCCTATATAGTTAATACCGGGGACAGAGGGAGGAGCGAGGCGTCATCTCAGTCAATACGTCGGAAGTAGTGGTATGTGGTGAAGTTGGTCAATAAATGTGCGCATAATTAATCAATTCATCAAATTTATGCTCCAGTGAAGGAAGAGGAAGCAGAGTTTTTTCAAGTTTAAGTAAGAGTTTTACGGCACTTGTTGCGTTGCAACAATAAGGTCATATAAGTGATGAAGAATAGATTAGTTACAAGAGAGTTACATCTATTTAAAAAGGAGGAGGAGGAATGATAGGGATCATAGGTGCTTGATAGGAAAGAAGGAGTAAATCACACCAGAGCACTCGCCAACACACACGCGAAAAAGAAGAAGAAGATGAAGAACAAGAACAAGAACAAGAACAAGAACAAGAAGAACATGACGAAGAAAAAGTTGTAGAAGAAGAAGAATAGAAAATATTTTCTCACATTGAGCGCACTAATGCAATGAGATGCATCCAGGAATAAGAAGAGGGGACGTGACATAGACAGGCCAATAATTATACCGACCGAGAGGGAACATACAGTAAGGTATGTTTTGAATTTTTAATCCAAATATTGACTAGAATTACCAGAATGTTCTGACTCCATCTTTCATGTGTGGATGCGGGTTTGACGTGACGGTAAAGAAAGAGAAATGGTGTTTAAAACCCATTCAGACAAACCCCCTTGATTAATTTTCTATGAAAACAATACGGCGATTCCTGGGTTGTAAGGAACAGACTATTAGTTGTACGGTGGGAAACTTTCACCGGATGCCTGACCCCAATCACGCCGAAATCGAGGAGTGATGCGTCTGTACTTTTTCGTCTCCGAAAACACTTACCAAAAAAATATAAACAATTTTTTAAAATAGCCATTTCAACGCCATCACGTTGTTTTTTCGAAAAGAGATTTCGTGTCAAACTGAGTTGTATCGTTGAAATTTCCATAATTTCATTACCTTTCAACACGTGTTCAACTGTGCCCGTAATCCAACCGCGTGACTACTGTTCGGTCTTTTGTTATCAAACCAGAAACCGCCGTAGGAGCGGGGGCGGTAGGTTGACCCGTGGTCAGCGTCTATGAAGATTACGTCACCGGCGTAATGGATGACTGGACACCCAGACGCTACCCCCTTGAGGCTACCGGCGATTTTGTAATCTGGCCACGAGCCGTGAGAACTACTTGAATTTCTGGAAAGTTCGACGTTTCAACAAAAGAAGATTGGCAGCTGAGCGTGGCCTGTTAACCAATCAGAACTTTGCGTTTAATTCCCGCCCAAAAAATGACGCTTCGTTTGTCATCATATAAAAACTCTTGCAAAACGTTTGTCTTGTACCATTTCTTTCCCCTCGTTTGTCGAGTGTAGAGTGCATTGTATTGCTGTTTTATTGAATCCACGTTGTCATCACTATATTCAGAAAGTACGACAGCTTTTACTGCGATCTTCAGAATCCCCTTCTGGTTCTGGTGATTTTTCATAGACATTCAATCAGTCTTTGGTCACATCCGAGTATTTCTTCATTTCACCATGAGTTCTGTGGAGCAGATTTGTGTCATCCAGCTGCCTAAAGAGGTAGATGTCTTCCACTACCACCGCATGCAGTACTCGTCCGTCTTGCACCAAGGACAACGTAGCAAGATTCTCTTGGCGAGGAGCAAAATCATCCCTGACAAGAAATTCGCTGTCAAACAGATGCCTCTTCTCTCTGATGAGGATAGAGATCGCTTCAGCCGTGAGATGTGGCTGATGAAACTGGCTTCTGACATACGTGGAGTTGTGACTTTGTTGTCTCGTCCCGTCTTCTGTGGTCCCACCGGCTATCTCATCATGCCGTTCTACGATAAGAGAGACCTGCTCTCGCGGACAGGGAAACTCAGCCACGACAACTGGATGAAAGTGTTTGTCAGGGTGAGTGCATTCATATTATTATTCTTATTCTTATTATGCTTCTTCTTTCCTTCTTCTTTTTTATGTTTGTTACTCTCTTGTAACACCTCTAATCATCTGGCGCTCATATGACATTATGCAGTTGCGAGCGCCGTAAAACCTCTACTGAATTTTTAAAAATTATATTTGTTACTTCAATGTATATTGTTTCTATATCGTAACTCTTTTTGATTCACTGTTACAATTAAGGCTATGGAGAAACGTGAAAGTGACATTAGTTAATAACTAATGAGTCTCAAATTCTATCAGTTTTTTAATATTTCTACCTGCACACACACACACGTCTTTCATCTTAATAATGACAAACATCAGGACAGTACACACCTGTCAGACAACATGTACTGTTTTATATTTTACAAATGACATCAGTCCAAAATAACAAGTTTTATAACAGAGAAAAACAAACATTCATTAAGTGTTTTAGAAAGTTTGGATACAGTCCAAATGGGCAAGATTACTCTTCTTCCATCTCTTTCTCTCCATTTCTCTCTCTCTCTCTCCAACACACTCTCTCTTTCTCTCTTTCTCGCTCTCTCTCCCTCTCTCTCTCTCGCTCTCTCTCCCTCTCTCTCTCTCTCTCCCTCTCTTTCTCTCTCTCTCTTTCTCTCTTGCATTTTTTCTGAAAATTTGGGAGGAAGAGCTGTTTCTTTTTATGCCTCTAACATTTGGATTTCCCTCCTAAATGAAATTCATATGCCAATAGAGAGTTTTTAAATGGTCTAAAGACACATTTGTTCAGTTTTCAGTACTATCTTCTGCCTGTAAATGTTGACTGCGATAAAGTTTGTGTGTGTCGGGGAGTTTTGTGTGTTTATATGCGTATGTGTGTGTTTTTTAATGGTTTCACAATGTCCATTTTCTTTCTCTTAAATTGTTAGTGAAATGATAATTCTGCATTGTACAGCGGTAATCTTGTCTTGATTAGGCGCTATATAAAAACCTTCATTATACTATTTATTACTATAAATTTCTCTCTGTCTGTCTGTCTGTCTGTCTGTCTCTGTCTCCTTCTGTCTGTCTGTCTGTCTGTCTGTCTGTCTGTCTGTCTGTCTGTCTGTCTGTCT